ATTATTAAATTATTAAAATCATACTTTTTGAACAAATAAAATAGGTCGTTATTAAATAGTATTCATAATGTATAAAATTATTTTAAATTTTTATTTATTTATTTATAAAGTGCTGCATTAATATCCTGTTAATCAATAGTATATTGATGAATCTCATTTATAATTCAGAATAAAAGCAAATACGAAAATTACTCAACTGAGTCTGAGTTAGTAATTATAAGATATAAAATACAAATTTTATCATTTCTCCTAAAAATAACAAAATGTAATTCTTGTTAAAAATGGAATAAAGAAAATCTTGGCAATAACTTGTATTAAACATGAAGGATAATGTATACTATTTTTTCTACCCCAAAAAGAAGCAACTTAAAATTTTTATGATATCTGTTTACTAAGAAAAATCAAATTTGGCAAAATTTAGAAATTAATTCATATCAATAAAGTAAAATTTAATTAAAATAAGGCATTAAAATTAGCCTGAGTATCTAATTACTAAATTGAATATTGACCAATAGTTATTTAATTATTTTAAAGAATTCAGTCAATGGGATGAAGTTACTTTAATTAAAGAGCTTAAAGAGATTGAATAAAACATCCAAAATTTTAACAAAATTGTTTTAAGAACTAAAAGTAGTTGTGTAAGCAAGGGAAGATTTGAATTAAAAAATAAGAAGCGATTTAAATTAAGTAATTAGTGTATATTACCGAGATCGTTAAAAATCGATCAATTAAAGGAAATAATATGTAGTTTGAATTAATTAGGTGATACTATAAATCCTTAAGCCATTGAAAAGAGTGAACAAACCTTGCATTAATATATTATGGATTTAATGTTGAATAATAATGCTTATTTAAATGAAACCCTTTTTGGTGTTTTGGGTTAGTATAATCAAGTTAAAGATTTGAATTAAGAGAAATTTCCAGAATTTCAAAGATTTGGTGAATTATACAAATAAATTTCTGAAAAGCACTTTATTTTAAATAAATGGATACATCCTAACTTGTAGATAAAAATAAATTGTATCTTACTGAAAGAAAAATTTTCAAACAAAATATAAGAACTTATATAGAGTAAAACAGGGAAAAAAATATCATAAGTGTAAATGATTTATTCAGGAACTAAGGATGGTTTAAATGGATAAAATGTTAATGAAAAAAGTAAATGGTAAATGCAATTTGTTGTTGGTTTTAAATTCAAGCAGTCAGCATATATTTGGAGCTTATACTCCTTGTAAATGGATAATCAGATCAATATATTCAAGATGATTCATGTTCTTCCTTTATATTCTCATAAACGCAAGATTAAGCTTTTCCTTTAAAATAGGAGACTAAATAATATGCCATCTACTGCCTGATTTTTAAACTGGCTACACTAAACTAGGGCATTCCTATAAATGGGATCTATATTCAAAAGTTTAAAGCAATCATTTGTTTAGCTAAGATCAGCCTAAAATTCAGGAATGTGAAGTTTTTGAATTAATATTGAATGGAAAGCAACAAAATAAAAGGAATTTTGAATTTAATAAGAATTTTAAATCCTGAGAATTATTAAAATTTCAATATTTTCCACACACTATATATAAGTTGTAGTAAATATAATATTACTTATAAATAATGAATTTTTATTTTAGAAAGCAAAGTAAGTGAAAAATAAATCTCTATGAAAATTAAATAACTCCGTTTTGAAAAAAAACCACTTGTTATATCATTCATCTTTTTGTAATTCCAAATTATTTTATTAATCTATTATAAAATTATGCTAAGCTGTTCATTTATTTAAAGCAATTCTTAATGAAATTATGTTGGAAATATACTATAAAATATATAATTTATATATTTAATAATAAATCGTATTTTATTGAAAGTCAACTATTATAATTATGTTCATCGTTTAAAATATCAATTCTAGTTTAATTATGAAGAAAAACTGAAAAATCTTAGGAAAAGACACACTATTCATAAATAATAATTGAAATTAATTTTAGCTATTCTCTAAAAATATTTGTTATATTTATTATTTCTTAAATTATGAAAAAGTAAATACAATTCTTGAATTCAAATAATTTTTAATTGTATCATTTTCATATATCTAACAATGGATCCTTAGTCTTGGACTCTTCGGCTCTATGAATTTTATCTATATTCAATAATGAATTATCTGAAATTTATGAAATAATACTTTTATGTGTTTATATTTCATCATTTATTTAAATTAGAAGAGCAAAGTCATAAGATTATATAGCTTCATAATATTCTTGAAGTTTATGTAGTGTTAACCCTAAATTAATGTTGAAATTCATAACCTTTACTAAAATAATAGAGCTGATTATTAGAATTTATATTGATCGCTTTATTATAAGAATCTAAAGCTTCGAGATAACGATCAACTTAATGTAAGACAATTCCTATTATTTTATAACGATATTATTAATATGATTTACCTTTTTGTAGTAGGCCTCATCATTATGAAAATTGATTTTTATTGCCAAATCATAACATTCGATGGCTTAATAGAAAAGTTTCATTTAAGTTAGCGCGTATCCTGTTTTGAGATACAATAAATACCTTTATTTAAATAGACAGCATCTTTTTCAGAATTTATTTTTAAATATTTGTTATAATTTGCAACTGCTGCTTTAAAAAATTTTAATTTTGTTAGAGCATTTCCTTTTAAATAATTAATATCAAATACCTTTATAAAAGTAAGAGGATGCATTACCCTATTGTAAATGTATCGCCTTATCATAATAAATAATAGACTCTTCATAATTCTCCATCAGATATAAATCATTAGCTTAAGCAATATTAAATTTATTACCTATGTCAAAATACTGAGCTTAGTTTTGGATTAATTCGATATAAGTTTGATTTTGTTTGGGTTGCCATTCACTTAATAACAAACTTTAGTTACTTAAATAATTCGATATGTATCACATATAATAAACATCCCCCAAATATAAAAACATAAATCTATAGATAAATTACAATAATTGAGATGCCCCAATAACCTCCTATATAGAGCCATTTCATTATACACTCTAAAATAGATATCGTTAAGAATACTTATTAATTTAGATTTTTTTTCATTTATTAAGCAATCCTTATTTCTTAATTCTAAAGATTAAACTAGTTGTTCCATCTAAGTTATCTCATTCACTAAACCTTACTAAAATTTGCAATTATCAAGTTGTCTCTCTGGAGAGCATTATTCTTTTAAGATTTTGATTTCTTAATTTGACAAAGATTAGTATTTTTTTTCTAAAAATTTCTTTAAATGTTTCTTAATTCATCTATTTTCTCTTAATAGGCATCAATTTAATGTCTGCTTAATTGGTGTAATTGAATTTATTATTCTTTGATTTTGTTGAAGTGATCCTCTTTTTATTTGATGGAATTTGATAAATCTTTGGTTATTTGTCCAAATTCTCTGCAACTGTCTATATGATCCTCATGGAATTGTTCTAAACATTTTTAACAATAGATAGAATTTGAAGAACAATTTATGGAAACGCAAAACCCTATACAAATTTAAGATTCGTGAAGTTAACAAATCTAAACTTTTTATGAATTAAACATTGAATTGGAGAATAAATTTAGAATGTTTTATTCTTATCTTAATTATTTTTTTAAATACGTGTAGCTCGTTTATAACATCAATTTTATTAACGAAAATAGAACTATAAATGTTTTTAATGAATTTTTTCTTACTTTTCCATTAAGAGTGGAATGGCCAAAATTGTTCTCTACTCATATTCATTAAGCCTATTAAGATCCTATTAGATAATATGAAACAGAAGAAATATNTATTATTAATATGATTTACCTTTTTGTAGTAGGCCTCATCATTATGAAAATTGATTTTTATTGCCAAATCATAACATTCGATGGCTTAATAGAAAAGTTTCATTTAAGTTAGCGCGTATCCTGTTTTGAGATACAATAAATACCTTTATTTAAATAGACAGCATCTTTTTCAGAATTTATTTTTAAATATTTGTTATAATTTGCAACTGCTGCTTTAAAAAATTTTAATTTTGTTAGAGCATTTCCTTTTAAATAATTAATATCAAATACCTTTATAAAAGTAAGAGGATGCATTACCCTATTGTAAATGTATCGCCTTATCATAATAAATAATAGACTCTTCATAATTCTCCATCAGATATAAATCATTAGCTTAAGCAATATTAAATTTATTACCTATGTCAAAATACTGAGCTTAGTTTTGGATTAATTCGATATAAGTTTGATTTTGTTTGGGTTGCCATTCACTTAATAACAAACTTTAGTTACTTAAATAATTCGATATGTATCACATATAATAAACATCCCCCAAATATAAAAACATAAATCTATAGATAAATTACAATAATTGAGATGCCCCAATAACCTCCTATATAGAGCCATTTCATTATACACTCTAAAATAGATATCGTTAAGAATACTTATTAATTTAGATTTTTTTTCATTTATTAAGCAATCCTTATTTCTTAATTCTAAAGATTAAACTAGTTGTTCCATCTAAGTTATCTCATTCACTAAACCTTACTAAAATTTGCAATTATCAAGTTGTCTCTCTGGAGAGCATTATTCTTTTAAGATTTTGATTTCTTAATTTGACAAAGATTAGTATTTTTTTTCTAAAAATTTCTTTAAATGTTTCTTAATTCATCTATTTTCTCTTAATAGGCATCAATTTAATGTCTGCTTAATTGGTGTAATTGAATTTATTATTCTTTGATTTTGTTGAAGTGATCCTCTTTTTATTTGATGGAATTTGATAAATCTTTGGTTATTTGTCCAAATTCTCTGCAACTGTCTATATGATCCTCATGGAATTGTTCTAAACATTTTTAACAATAGATAGAATTTGAAGAACAATTTATGGAAACGCAAAACCCTATACAAATTTAAGATTCGTGAAGTTAACAAATCTAAACTTTTTATGAATTAAACATTGAATTGGAGAATAAATTTAGAATGTTTTATTCTTATCTTAATTATTTTTTTAAATACGTGTAGCTCGTTTATAACATCAATTTTATTAACGAAAATAGAACTATAAATGTTTTTAATGAATTTTTTCTTACTTTTCCATTAAGAGTGGAATGGCCAAAATTGTTCTCTACTCATATTCATTAAGCCTATTAAGATCCTATTAGATAATATGAAACAGAAGAAATATGTGTAGTATATAAAACTAATGTTATTGGTTATTTAAACTTATTGCTTAAATTTATTAAACCAATATAATATATATATATACGCTAATATAAGGTCTAATCATTTAGATATTTTCAAATCAAATGAACTTGTCTTGAGGTTGAAGTATAGCGAGATTATGCTTCTCTAAAAAAGTGTAAACGTAAAGATGCAAATCAACAACAGAAATAAATTCATACATAAAATGAATTATTAATTTCGACTTCAAGGTAGCATTCATAAAATGTAAATCTTAATATTCTTTTGTGAGTTATTTTAGCCTTAAAATTTATTCAAAAATGAATATGAAATGGAATTAAATTCCGATTAATTATACAATTAAATGATTTGTATGAAGTTTGATATTTTGTAATTTAATTAATGGATAATCAATAAAATGCATCAAATAAAATTTCATACGAACTTATTGCTTAGAAATAGCATTTTTAACTCAATTCCTGTAATGCTATTGCTATTGATGCTAATAATGAAATCGTAGTCTTTGCTGAAGAATCGAAAATAATAATCTGTTCATTCAAATATAATACATTTAAAACTATTAAGTAATTCTAAATCAATTCTTCTAATATTAATACTCTAAATTTCTTCAAATTTAGATAACACTTTATTTCTGGGTGTCAGAATTCATCAATTTATATATGGTCAATCAATATGATAGCAAAATCTAAATACATTTAAAAGTTATAAGCTAATTCAGGTTCTACCCTTTGTATGTGCATCTCCAAACTAGAGGATCAGGTCGTGACTGGACACTATGAAAGTATTATAAAAATTTGGAGTTAATTTGAATTGTATCCACAATAATGGTCCTGCGTAGAAAATTTAATTGGTCATGCAGGAGCAGTTTATGGATTGTCCATGAATGAAAATTAAAATAAATTAATATCTTGTTCAAATGATCAATAAATATTAGTTTATTAAATTTCATAGTAAAGTTCTAAATGGATCTTGCAATAAATAATATAAAATGATGGTTTGCGTTTATGCTTTATTACAAATGATGCCTTTGTATTTTAACCTTATGCAGCCAATAATCTATAAATATACATATTCGACAAATTATCTTAAGAATTTATAACAACACAGAAAGTCTAGATTTAAGAGGGAGGTTAATTTTGTCATGAATCTTTCCCATGCATTTACAATCTTAAAAAAGGAATTATTTTTGATAAAAGTAGCTACAATTTAAATATTTTAAAGTGCAAATTAAAATAAGATCTTAGAATCAAAGAAAATAATTAAATTGATATCACTTTAGAAGATTCAATTGATTTTTGTGATGAATATTTTTGCGGATAAATTAGTGATAATGGAGAATATTTACTTATTTGGAATAATGAGTAAAAGGAATTATAAATAAGAAAGTATAATGAGTAATGAAAAAGTTATAAAGATAGTATATATTGTATAATTTAATTTATCTAAAAAATTTAATCAAAAAAGTTAAATAGTTTATGCAATATATATGTAATTACAACATTTAACCATTTAATATTGAATTTGAAAGAATCTTTTTCATGTCGATCATAAACTTTATTTAAAAAAGCCAACAAAATTTAACTATACATATACACATATCTTGATGTAGTTTGTGAAAAGTCATCATTTAAATTTTCCTTTATTAATTTTGATTTAATTCTGAGAATAATAGATAGAGGAAATAGCATTATTGGATAAAAACATACGTATGTTTATGGTTAGTTCATAACTAAGGATATTCAATAAATATATTTTAACTTATCAATATGTTAAATATAAATTATCAGTTCTTTTTATTTTCTAATTACCTTATTTTCTATTTTTTGTTTTTTTAAGTTCCATTATCATTAGCCTTTTTGCAATTATTGATTTAAATACTCAAAATTTTGATTAGTTGTTGAGCTTCTTTATGTTTAGGATTAACCTTGACAACTTTTTAGTAGCAGTCTAATTCCTCCTCAAACTATTAAATGCAACCTAATGAAAAACCTAAACAATCAATTCTTTCTTGTACCTTTATTCATTAACAAAGTTTAAGTTAATTCTTCATCTGGATTCAGTGAAAGGGCTTAGTTAAAGCATTCTATAGCATTTTTATACTTCTTCAGTACTTGTAAACAAAATGCTAAAGATTATTTGTAAAATACCTTTTTCAATATAATATTCGATGTCAGTTGGATTTATTTAAATTGCGCGATTATAATATTCGATTGCTTCTGTATGTCTGTCCCATTCTCTTAGCAAATTGGCTTACATAACAATAAAAAGTACCCATATTAAATTATGCAAATTCATTTTTTGGGTTTAGACTAATTGCTTTTTAAAATTAAGACTCTGCTTCTTTTTATTTATTAAGATGAAATAAAGCCGCGCCTAAATTAATTTAATTCAATACCTTTTTTATTATAAGCTTCGTCATTTTTCGAGTTTGATTTAATTGCTAAATTTGCTGTTTATAAACCTTTTTTGAATTAGTTTAATTCAATTAATGCAGCGCCTAATATCATCAGATATTACTTTTATTAACGTATGCTTCATCATTTTTTGGATTTAGTTTAATTGCTTCATCAAATTAATTTATTGATTCCTCAAACTTTCCTTTGCACATTAATGAAAGACCTTTATTTATTAATAATTTCTCTGAATTTAGGTTTGAATTTAATGATTTTCTTTGTTTTTTCAGATTCTTCTCTTAATTTTTAAGTTTTTCTAATATCTAACCTAAACTATCGCTTTATTAGTTTATTATAGAAATCTTCTCCTTCTTCTTATGAATCTTGACTTTTTAAATTTTTCTCCTAGTGTTCTTTTAAGTTTAATTGATTTTTTTCATAGTTTTAATAAATGATTAATTTCTAATACCTAAATTTTTCACAACGTTGCATTTTTAACAGAGTAATAAATCATGATGAATACTTCATAACTTAAGTACTCTACTCTATGTTCAAGATTTACAAATCTATCATAATTAGAAATATGAAAACATATAAGTTTTTTATTATATTCATTTTTCCATATTCGTTCTAACTTGAATTGCTTTTGACTAACTGTCCCATGTAATTAAATATTGTCCATCGTCGCTTGCTACTCCATATAAATTTTAAACTCCGAAATTAATAGATTATTCCACTATAAATTCATTATTTTCTTTTTATCTTATAATGTGTATATAGAAGCCATTTTTGTTAAAGAGAAGAGACTTTGATTTAATATATTATTATGGACACAACGAATAGATGTCCTGACTATTTTTTTAATTTATTTCTGATTTCTTAAGAACGTTTTCATTTGTTATCTCATAGATATGCATTTATTAACTATTATTAGGCTAATAGGCAAACATTTCATTGCTTATGAAACATAAACGCAATCCATACTTTTCAACAACTATCTTTTATTTTACGATCCACTTTCTATCTTATTCTGAATGCTCTATGATAAGAATTGAATTGTCTTCGCTGCTGGAGATTAATTTATTTTATTAATCATTCATACCTAATGCTAACACTCTTTTTGAATGATCATTAATTGTTTACTAATTCGACCATTGATATTGTTTATACCAAAACTTGATTGTCGTATCATCGCTACCCGAAATTATTAGATCGTCAGTTCTATTAATTAAGACACATCTAATAAAACTAACATGACCTTCTAATTTTTATTAGAATTCCCAAATATTGGATTGATTAAGTGACCATAAGATTATTTAATTACTTCCACAAGATATCAATTAATTTGAGAGCTTCATAAAACTCAGACAAAACACATAATTTGTATGTTCTGCTAAAATTTAAACTAATTTAAGAAAGCCTGCTCTGAATTCAAATATCTTTATAGTCTTCCCACAAGAGGCTGCCAATATCTGAATGTCGTTATTAATAGCTATGGCATGACAAGGTTCAGATTATATAATTGATGCTTCTTATTTCAATTAGTAGATCAACTTTTCATTTATTTAAGAAGCTTCTACTTCTAAAAATTATAATATTTTACAATCTTACTATTAGTTATTTGTTAAACCAAAAACCTTCTAATTATTCTTCGAATTATATGAATTTAAATTAGGTTATTATCCAGAGATATAATTTTAATTGCTAAATAATGACTAATTTTTTTGGAATTCTTCATTTCCTTATTTAAGGGTTGCAAACTTTTGAATTAAAGGTAAGATGTTATTTGTGTACTTCTGCACATATTCATGAAGATTTCGAAGGGTTTTTTTAGTTACCTGGTTTATTATCTAATCCTCTGATATGTAAGTATCTTAGTAGACATCTAAATCATTAATTTATAAGGCATTTGTTTCTAATTCTTCCTTTGAGAAGCTCGACCATGGTTTTTGCATTTTCTTATTTAGATCAAGAATTGCTTAAGTATATTTATAGTAAATAGTGTCAAATGTGATATCTGCTTGCTCAAGGCTTTTAAAGGTTTTATTTTTAATCAATTAAAAGAATTCTTGAATATAGATAATCTTATTCATAAGTGCTACATAGTTTATTTGCATATTCTCCATTTTTTGTTAGTGCACTTTTTTCCATTGATTTTATACTTATTAAATAGATTGATACTTAATTTAAGGATTTAAATTTGCACAAGTTTGACATCCTAATCTTGTCGATTGAATTTATCTGGAAATTAAATCTACCAAAATGATTTAATCTTAATGTTCCTAGCAAACCAGATTAATTTTCTTTTAATAATTTAAATTATTACTGATTATTCTCCAATCTCATATTTTTTATCATTCATTTACAACAAAGCCAAATTATGTATAATCTTATATACAATTTATTAACACTCGTAAATTATAGTAGTTTCTTTTAGAGGAAGAAACGAATTTATTAATTCTGTTGCATTCTCAAGCTAACGCTGTGATTCTCTGTCATTTAAATCTTTAGATATGTTGGTAGATTGTTAATTATTGTTGCATTCTTAATATAAATTCGTTGAGATATTATTATCATTGACTTTATATTAAGATTCTGCTAACATTCTGATTTTTTTTTATAGTATTTCAATTTATTCTATATAGTGATTTTTCAATAATTGCACTTTTTTTTCTAATTCAATTAGATGTGTCTAATGATCTTCCATCAATTATTAAGTATTTTTCTTAAGATTGATTTTAATGTCCTTTTCTGATGTGTTAAAATCATTAACTCGTTACAATAATTTATCCCCTTCATCTTAGAATTTTAGTTAAAGCTCTTCAATTTCTATTCTTTCTTGTCCTAATTTTCTTACAATAAAATTTTGATCAATCGATTGAGATTTTTGTGGAAAAAACATTGTGGTCTTAATGATTAATAGCTTAATTAAATAAAAAAATAGAAAATTTAATGTAATCTTAATTTTATTTTAATTATTCTATAATATGGTTATTAAAGCAAATTACATAAAATATAGAATATATTTAAAACAATAGGTTGATTACATTTGGAAAAAAAACCAAAATGGGTTTATTGAATTTCATTTAAAAATTTTATTAGAATATGTGAATTCTATACAAATTAAATGTTATTTTACAATTAAGCAATGATTAATTATCTATGAAAATATGAATTAGGATAATTTACATTTTATTAAATATAATTGAAAAATGGTTATATTTTTAATTCTTTTTTCATTTTAGGTTGTAGAACCCAATTTGAATTGCAAATTAAATTAGTATGAATTGTGGCTAAAATCAAACTTCAGAAGGAATTATAAAGATGTAGCATCTTAATTTAATAATGCAATTCTTTCAAATGCAAGATCTAATTCCATGTTTGGAAGCAAGGAAAATATAAGTCCATTAAAAGATTTAATATATATGTAAGTTGGTTAATACTATCCACATTTTTACACAAGTGGTTAAATGGTTGTTTAGTTTGCACAAATTTAAGAAATAAATCGAATAAAAATTTGGTTCTACGATTAAGACAGTAGAATACATAGTTTTAAAATAATTGCAATTTGTTAAAATAAAATTGAAAAGGAATTATTTTAAGGGTATTAAGTACATGGTCTAATAACAATTAATTTTGAAAATAATTTTGTATCAATGATCAAGATAATTAATTTGCCAGGTGGCACATATGGTGAAATAGCAATTATAAAAATCTAAGCCTATTTTGTTTTTAATAGTCACCTTGAGGATTGAGATTAATGAGTTTTGATATCATATATTCCTATCAATTTGATAGAATAATTAGGTATTATTTATTTATTGCAAATTAAGGCAATTCAATCTATCATATTTACTTAGATATTGGGTCATTATGTTATTAATTATTCTTTTCCTTTATATTAATAAATCTTACAAATTTAGTTTGTAAAACAGATAATTTAACTTCCTGTTATGCACAGGTATTAATGTCTATATAGATAGCCAATAAAGTAGAAGACGGAAGCAATACTGATGGTGAACAAATTATTTCTAAAATTTATGACTAGAAAGTGAAACCTATTTATTTGAAAATGTCGTACTAAATGGGTATATCTGGATGCAATTCATAAACGATAAGTAGTATCAGTTATGAACATTCATACAGCTCTAATAAAAATCTCGATCTAACTAAGCAATCTTTTATGTTATAAATTATTAATACAATTGTATTTATAAATATCTACTTGAAGGGATTGGTCCAGCACATTTAAGCATTAATTCCTTAAGGAAAAATATATAGAACTGAACTATTTTCCCTTATAGGTGTTAAATGTTATTCCTTCTCCATCAAAAATACAATATATTTTCTAAAGAACTGATAATTTCAATCAGAGCATTAATTTATTCAGCTAAACAGTTTATTTCCTAGTGAGCTTGTTAAACTTTTTGTTAGATCTTAAACCAAAAATAAATAAGTAAAATCTATAAAAAGTTAATATAGTTTGAGCATCTACAAAAAATGAACTGCAAGAGAAAGAGTATAAGCATTCCAAATATAGATTCTATATAAGTAGTTGAAATGCTTACTTAAAAGATAATAGATATTTGTTATCAATTACTTCGAAAAGGTTGGAATTTTGTGATATTGTTATAGATATGATTTAATACTTTTTGAGGAATTTTACACTTATTTTAAATCAATAATATTTGTTTAATTTATAAATTGCTAAATATAATCATATTAATATTAATTATTTAAAATTTTAGCTTACTTTAAATATTATTAATATATATTAATTTTATGTTCAAATATCAACTTATTTGATTTCAATTAGTTTAACTTAGGTAACCACTTAATTGAATAATTTTTAATAGATTTAACAGTCCAAATTTGAGAGTATTATTATTAATTCTTGATTGGCCTATATTGTAGGAAGTAATTTAACTGAGTAATTAATTGTATTGATAGCACCATAGCAATTATGTGAAAATTAGTTCGTTTTTTATGGTAAACATCCATAGCATTTATTAAAGTAACTTTATATTTTCTTTAACTAAAAACATCTTGCATAAACCTTTAAATTTATTAGCTAATAATTTTTGTCTATTGCTAAGTTAGTTGTACCCAAATTTCTTACTATTTGTTGAGTTTCCATAATTTCTACTTCAAAAGAGTTTCTAAATTCCGCTAATTTTTCCTTTATTTATGTAATCCTTATAGTTATACAGTCTACGGCTGTGAATACGGTTTTAAATTAATACATTATCCAAGTCGGCTGATGAGTTTATGGTGTATAATATTGAAAACCTTAAAATCATAAGATTCATTATACCGTAAATAGATTCGATAGTGTACCATATTTTTTATTAATCTTAGTATTAAGTGAAATTCAATCTAACATTATCATTAACATTATAATAAAATCCAACAAATGGAGTAATAAGCCATGAATTCTCTTAAGTAACATATTTAGGACTTGTATAAATAGCAGTTGTTTTAATAACATCAATTATAGTAATGGCTTCTTTTACTCCTAGAATCACTTAATATCCCAAAAATAGTAAGTTTGATAAGGTATTATTTGGATCAGTTATGGTAACAGACACGCTGGTTTTTGTTAGTTCAGAAGCCTAATTGATAATTAAATAAAGTACTAGGATATCAAAGTAAACTGGACCCTGATAGGAAAAATTTATCAAAGATATGAATACCGTTTCTGCATTTGAGTTGACTAGAGGATATGTTTTGTTCTCAAAAGAATACATGTTAAACTCATTTATGATTTAAATTCTTTCATCATCTATAGCTAACCATTTCAACACAATACCATATACAGGTCCAAATATAGTTCCTAGAAAACATTCGAGATTAAAAGTAAAGCCTAAGTTTTCGTTAATGATATACTTTGTGTTGTAACAGTGGTAATAGAAAAAGTGTAATTAACAAATGGATGATTTGTGTCCATCAATATAGTGTTTATAAGAATTTTTGGGGGCCTTGCAAATACATCTGAGAAATAAACAGTTTCTTATTTTTATGCAGGAGGATTACACCTACTTCCTCCGCTATATTAATATGCAAATTTAGTAAATGTGTTGGAGTCATATGAAATGGTGGCCCAGACTACTTACAAAACAAAAATCATTTTCATAAAATTGAATTTATATAATATGATATTGCATCATTCTAATTTACAGATATTATAAAAATATTATCGAAAACATTTTCAAATAAGTATAAGAGCATCATAGTATTCAGTTAAATATTTTTTTACTTCGATGATGTATTTGGTTTCTTATTAGTGTGGCTGATTTATTAACCCAGAAGAAAAATAAACTGCATCACTCAAATGCTGAAATATTTAACTATTTACATTCGGCATGGTAATATTGCATTTTTGGATTGCTTTCTGAAGTCTTATAATTTTTCTCATTTTCATTTGATATCAGCAAGATTGTGGATCTAACATTTTACTTTACATATAAAAATAATCAATTTTGCACCTNGTTGAGTTTCCATAATTTCTACTTCAAAAGAGTTTCTAAATTCCGCTAATTTTTCCTTTATTTATGTAATCCTTATAGTTATACAGTCTACGGCTGTGAATACGGTTTTAAATTAATACATTATCCAAGTCGGCTGATGAGTTTATGGTGTATAATATTGAAAACCTTAAAATCATAAGATTCATTATACCGTAAATAGATTCGATAGTGTACCATATTTTTTATTAATCTTAGTATTAAGTGAAATTCAATCTAACATTATCATTAACATTATAATAAAATCCAACAAATGGAGTAATAAGCCATGAATTCTCTTAAGTAACATATTTAGGACTTGTATAAATAGCAGTTGTTTTAATAACATCAATTATAGTAATGGCTTCTTTTACTCCTAGAATCACTTAATATCCCAAAAATAGTAAGTTTGATAAGGTATTATTTGGATCAGTTATGGTAACAGACACGCTGGTTTTTGTTAGTTCAGAAGCCTAATTGATAATTAAATAAAGTACTAGGATATCAAAGTAAACTGGACCCTGATAGGAAAAATTTATCAAAGATATGAATACCGTTTCTGCATTTGAGTTGACTAGAGGATATGTTTTGTTCTCAAAAGAATACATGTTAAACTCATTTATGATTTAAATTCTTTCATCATCTATAGCTAACCATTTCAACACAATACCATATACAGGTCCAAATATAGTTCCTAGAAAACATTCGAGATTAAAAGTAAAGCCTAAGTTTTCGTTAATGATATACTTTGTGTTGTAACAGTGGTAATAGAAAAAGTGTAATTAACAAATGGATGATTTGTGTCCATCAATATAGTGTTTATAAGAATTTTTGGGGGCCTTGCAAATACATCTGAGAAATAAACAGTTTCTTATTTTTATGCAGGAGGATTACACCTACTTCCTCCGCTATATTAATATGCAAATTTAGTAAATGTGTTGGAGTCATATGAAATGGTGGCCCAGACTACTTACAAAACAAAAATCATTTTCATAAAATTGAATTTATATAATATGATATTGCATCATTCTAATTTACAGATATTATAAAAATATTATCGAAAACATTTTCAAATAAGTATAAGAGCATCATAGTATTCAGTTAAATATTTTTTTACTTCGATGATGTATTTGGTTTCTTATTAGTGTGGCTGATTTATTAACCCAGAAGAAAAATAAACTGCATCACTCAAATGCTGAAATATTTAACTATTTACATTCGGCATGGTAATATTGCATTTTTGGATTGCTTTCTGAAGTCTTATAATTTTTCTCATTTTCATTTGATATCAGCAAGATTGTGGATCTAACATTTTACTTTACATATAAAAATAATCAATTTTGCACCTTCGCACTCTAGTCTCATACAAAAAGCAAACTCCTTTGAATTCAATTAACTGAATGTATTTATCATGATGATGCTTCAAGGGATATTAAGCATCTTCCTCTTCAATAAAATCCAGGTTTGCAATGTCCTATACCTGTGAAATTGAGTATTTGGGATTACTGTTATAGTATCGTCCTATTAGAATTTACTCTTGCAAATTTTGTTATAGAGATTCCTCCTTATCATCTTATGGGTGATTATTTTTTCTTTAATTCGTATCCGAAAAATTCATTTTGCTCAATTAAACAGACATGCAATATGACTTTTATACAAATGATTGGCCTTCTGTGGAATTTTAGCTAGCACGTGTCTAAATTATTTGAGATTACTAATCAAATCTCAGGATAAGTTGTTTTGCCTATTGTTTCATTGTACATACCCTAATTAAATTGTCACTCTTGTGTCAAATGATGTAATTCTGAGATTGGAGATTGCATCTTTGAATGCCAATCTTTGTTTCTTGTTTATACTAAATTCTTTAGCATAATCTGACTTCTAGGTTTGAATAAGACGCACAATTCTTTGCAAAGTGGTTTTATATAGCTCTCGCTATTATATCCTGGCTTCTTCTACTCTCCAATTCCATATGTATTTTTTATACAACATATAACGTTATTCTTTTAAATTTTATCATCAACTACATGATTTTAATCTTAGTAGCCTTGTTCAAAACACTTTGGAGTAAACTTGAATGAGCATCAAATAAATTCTGTGTAATATATACCTATCATCAAATTTTATAGTGGCAGTGCATACCATATGTTTTTCTCGCTGTTTAAGGGAATGCTCAAATAACTTGTATAATGCTAGTCTTCCTCAGCATTTTGATAAAGGCAAATCTTCTTGATTTACATCAGCTATTGAATGAGGCAGATATATCAATTTATAAACCGAGACCACTCATCTCTGCTCTTTATCCTAATGCCACAAGTCACTGGTGTGATGCATTTTTCAGCAACTATGAAAAATATCATTACTTGCAGTGTGAAATCATATCCAAACGAAAGATCTTAATATTTACGTAATTTTCCAACGAGTAGATCCATGTTAAAGTGTTTAGATCTAAAGAAGGAAAACAAAATTTTCTGTGCACAGAATTTCCTGAATTGCTTTAATGGTTAATGTTGTTGGGACTACTTGTTATTCAACTCACCGTTTGGTCAATTAAGATCTTTGGTTCATATACTATATATTAGCAGTTTATGACACCAATACATTCATGGATAGTAATTTTATACAACAATGCTCAAACATTTGTTTGATGACAACTTTACAACATTATCTTTTTTTTGTCTCGTGAACAAAAATTCAGCTGGTTGTTAATAAAATTTCTGCCAAAAATTTTTTAGAGCTGTGAAATGAAAGAAATGGCTATTGGCATATACCCAGTTCTCAGTATATTTCTTAGATCATCAACAGCAGTATATTGGGTAATATTCTAATAGCTTTAGCAATAAGATCAACTGCATCTCTACAACAAAGATATATATCATCAAACTTCTTCTCTTTTGTGATTTTTTATCTTGACTTTATTGTATGAACTCATTAATTTGTTGAAATGAATCACTTAATAAACTATCACTTGTTTACCTTGTTTGTTACGAATTTCCCAATGCAAGAAGCATATGTTGACTAGCAAGTTTCACTTGACAAATATGCAACAGTTCATATAACTTGATAATATCCTTGTTGTTAATGTTGTTTCTAGCAAGTAGTAAGTAGTCATATTAATTGATTAGTTTTGCAAACACACTTAATGCAATCTTATCAAACATTCTGAATCATGTCTATACTTTTTTCTCTGATCGATTCGGAGCGATATTAAAATGAACTTCAAAAAATTCTATGATTCCAAATGTCTGAATGCAATACGCTTTGCATTAGAGATAATATTAAAGAGTTTCCTTGTGAATATAGAATGACTAGTGCTATCAAGTTATGATAAAATATAGCTATTGCATAACTTATTGGTTACACTTTTATGCTAAGCTATAGTTTACGCAGTACTGAGCTTATCTATTTAATATTAAAAATTAGCTGATGCCAATTCCAAAGTAGGTAATAAACTGAGTAATGTTAAAGTTGAAAAAAAATCGCAAATTGTATTTTCTTTACGATACTAATTCATATTTTACTTAAGTTCCTCTGTTAGGCCTTTCTTATCATTTTCCATAATCACATTAGAGTAACGTTAGGAATTTATCATAAATTCTGCTAAAGTGCTACATGCAGTCAAATTTATTAGCGAGCTATTTGTGATATTTTTCCCTCTTTCGATATTTGGTACACCTTATGCAGGTTGATATAACCAATTTGATGGCTATTAAAGCCTATCATATTTCTATTTCTATATCCATTCTGATAAGAGGCTCATGCATCTATAATTTAAATGTAGCCATAAAATAACTATCTGCCCATTTGATGTATTATGGGGAGTTTTTTATCCATTCATAATTTGATTCAACTAGCATTCTTGGAATTGAGTAGACATAAAAATAACTCCAACTCCACAGACTATACGAGTTGAGATGGCTGATTTTAAAAATCATATATAGCTTAAATTTTTGACTCAGCAAACTTATTATTCTCCCTAGCAGCTTGTTTGTAGAATTAATTAACAAAAATAAACGACTTTTGAAAAGGGAATTAACTCATATCACATGAACCACTGATAGAATTAATGCATAATTATGAAATGGGGATGCAATATCTCATCTTAACATATACTGGTTGGTTCGATTATTGCGTAACATTACTCGAAAATCACATTGTCCAAATCCAGATTGTTAGAATTTATATCAACAAATTAAATCCTTATAACTTCACCCAGTATGAATTTACATGTATTCCAGACTCAAATTTAAAATCTCTTTCATGGGGATTACATGTTTTTATTCACTCATAAAGAGTTAAGCCCTTATAAGTTTATCCAAAGTATCTGGATACCTGTAACTTTTCTAGAATAGACAGACTATATGTTGTACACCTGATATGGATGATATGCATGGAACTCTAACTTTCTTAAATAGAATTTAAAATTCCTAATTATTTAATTCATCATTACAAAAACCTTAAATTACATGTGTTTTATTAACCTTGATATATTTGAACACTTCTTTATTTTATGTATCAAATATTTCTTGAGCTAAATGCAACATAAACAAGAATATTTGATGCTTTTACTACTACGTCTAAACTTTCGTATAGTCCTCCTCCAAATAAATCTTTTAAGTGAAGTACTTTTATCTATTGTGTAAAAGATACATTCAAATCAATTCTCTTTTGCCCCTAGTAGGATAGAGTTTAAGACTTGACTTGTTTAAAAATTAGTAGTTCTGCTTGCGAATATTGCATTTTATGTACCATATGAATATTGGCAGTTATTCTAATTGTGGAGCATCAATTCAATTCGATACCCATAAGTTTGTAAATCTGTTATTTTACTTCAGAATATCGATATCACTCTTTTTCAGTTCAATCTCATGCAACCTCAGNAATTCCAAAGTAGGTAATAAACTGAGTAATGTTAAAGTTGAAAAAAAATCGCAAATTGTATTTTCTTTACGATACTAATTCATATTTTACTTAAGTTCCTCTGTTAGGCCTTTCTTATCATTTTCCATAATCACATTAGAGTAACGTTAGGAATTTATCATAAATTCTGCTAAAGTGCTACATGCAGTCAAATTTATTAGCGAGCTATTTGTGATATTTTTCCCTCTTTCGATATTTGGTACACCTTATGCAGGTTGATATAACCAATTTGATGGCTATTAAAGCCTATCATATTTCTATTTCTATATCCATTCTGATAAGAGGCTCATGCATCTATAATTTAAATGTAGCCATAAAATAACTATCTGCCCATTTGATGTATTATGGGGAGTTTTTTATCCATTCATAATTTGATTCAACTAGCATTCTTGGAATTGAGTAGACATAAAAATAACTCCAACTCCACAGACTATACGAGTTGAGATGGCTGATTTTAAAAATCATATATAGCTTAAATTTTTGACTCAGCAAACTTATTATTCTCCCTAGCAGCTTGTTTGTAGAATTAATTAACAAAAATAAACGACTTTTGAAAAGGGAATTAACTCATATCACATGAACCACTGATAGAATTAATGCATAATTATGAAATGGGGATGCAATATCTCATCTTAACATATACTGGTTGGTTCGATTATTGCGTAACATTACTCGAAAATCACATTGTCCAAATCCAGATTGTTAGAATTTATATCAACAAATTAAATCCTTATAACTTCACCCAGTATGAATTTACATGTATTCCAGACTCAAATTTAAAATCTCTTTCATGGGGATTACATGTTTTTATTCACTCATAAAGAGTTAAGCCCTTATAAGTTTATCCAAAGTATCTGGATACCTGTAACTTTTCTAGAATAGACAGACTATATGTTGTACACCTGATATGGATGATATGCATGGAACTCTAACTTTCTTAAATAGAATTTAAAATTCCTAATTATTTAATTCATCATTACAAAAACCTTAAATTACATGTGTTTTATTAACCTTGATATATTTGAACACTTCTTTATTTTATGTATCAAATATTTCTTGAGCTAAATGCAACATAAACAAGAATATTTGATGCTTTTACTACTACGTCTAAACTTTCGTATAGTCCTCCTCCAAATAAATCTTTTAAGTGAAGTACTTTTATCTATTGTGTAAAAGATACATTCAAATCAATTCTCTTTTGCCCCTAGTAGGATAGAGTTTAAGACTTGACTTGTTTAAAAATTAGTAGTTCTGCTTGCGAATATTGCATTTTATGTACCATATGAATATTGGCAGTTATTCTAATTGTGGAGCATCAATTCAATTCGATACCCATAAGTTTGTAAATCTGTTATTTTACTTCAGAATATCGATATCACTCTTTTTCAGTTCAATCTCATGCAACCTCAGAATTCACTGAATGTGCTGATTGTTATTTAGCACCACCTAATCGCAACCAAATGTGAATTTTATGTAGTGATATTATGTATGTTCATAATTAAAATTCTCATAATGAGATAAAATTATGGACTGTTATGTAGGCCTCCTCACAGCACCGATACTATGTACACTTAGTCCAAAATGTTTTTTCTTCCTGAATTCTGACTTAATGTCTTAGCACTCTACAGGAGGATAAAATGTTATAATAAGGAATTTTGCATTACACATTTATTAATTTATTTATTATTACAGGTTTAACTGTTCCATAATTCTTGCCCTGACTATACCTAATGGTATTTAATAGTTATATAACTATTGCGGAACTTACTTCTTTTTTCAAACTAAGGTTAGAAATCTGTTATTACAAATTGTTATTAAAAATGAATATTAATATTAATCGATCCACGATATTTAATCTGTATAGAGGAAAATATTAACCCAGTAAATTAATTCTGGTGACGACATATTGTCTTCCATTATTTTCTTACTTCAAATAAATAGGTTTATTAATGTGGCAGATAGAGAATGACTTAAAATATATCCTTTGTTTATGGAAGTTTTGATCTAATGGTTATCGTATTAATATCCAGTGGATTTTGACGTCTTATTGACCATTGTCTATTTATTAATGAAGATTTCAGAAATAATGGTGAATAAGGTGTGATATTGCTCAATCAAAGGGACTTCTCTGATTTTAAGCAATAGACAGACTTGTACACTTATAAATCAATTTTTGAATTAATTGGGGTGAAAAAATTATGAGAATAGCATTGATTACAACGAAGAGCCAAAGAAAATATGAAAATTTTTATTAGATAAGGAATTATGGAGAAGAACACAAATAAAATAGCGTTACATAAATCCACTGAATTTAATTGAGATCATCAATTTCTCTATAATATTTGGGTAGATCCTCTTAAGATATATATTTGACTATATTCCAAATACCTTTTATTAAATCCAATCAGGAAACTTTACCAATGTTTATCAATGTTTTAGTTGTTCAGCATAGAAGTAATACAATCCTGTGGTTTATATTAAAATCAATTAAAATTTAGTCTCTTTACATGAAAATTGTTATAATTACATTATAATAAATTACGAAATCCACAAGAACGCTCTTTGAACAAAATCTAATTCCTTAATTAAAAAATATGTTATAAACTACATTAATTAACACAACTTTTACTTAATCCTTTCTCGTAAATAAATGCTTTTTGATTTTTATCCTCTTACATATAACTAGCTCTTAAACCCTGATTTATTCAGCATTTACCACTACTACACTGTCTGATTTCGATAGTAATATATTTTATGAGTTTAGATTGGAATTTCTTAAATATAAGTCCTACTAGCATAATCACTCAATGTGACTCAGAATAAATTATAGGAGGATATCAAAGATTTGCACATCAGCAAGCTGCTACAAAATTATTACAATTACCACCTCATTATAGAATGAAAATATCTTTGACCCTTTATATGTAAGCTGTTTATCTAGCCTAGAATCGATACATGGGATAACGGTGAATTCTTCAAAGTATTTGTAGATCAACTGTTAGTGTACAATGTCGAATATACAAGATTTATGGGCACATAGCAGGTATGTGGATAAGGACACTTCGATTCAATTCATTAAATATCGATGGAGCTCAATCATACAGGATTGACAGCTTTCATCTACTTAACTAGTAATTTGAATGAAGACTTTTTGGATGTATGACAATTCATAAATAAAGGAATCTTGGGGCTTCAAGAATTTCAGACTCCTTCTTTTCCTGTGTCCCCCAGAATGCCTTGCTTGTAGTAGTCTAGATAGGGATGTTGATTGTATCACATGGACACTAGTTCATTCCTCCTATACGGAGTTGATTTTTGCCAACTTTATTACAGATGGATGGACTATTATAAATGGAGATCAGAATAAATAGCAATGTATGAGTAAGAGATTGGTATTTCATTTTAGCGATTCCTACTATATGTGGGAAAGGCGTGTGTGGATAAAATACTCAACTAATATTGAATTTATAGGACTTGCCAGCCCATTCAGAAATGAAAGTAAAACTAAAGTATCTCAGGATTGGAAGTTGGGGATGGGAAGATATGTTTAATACAACGGTTGGTGGAAATGTAATATGGAATTCGTCACTAACCTCACTGCCTAATTATTTATATGGAATCTGTGATTTAACTTCCTAAGATGTATTTATTAATATAGATATGACATTTCCTCATTATGCAATAGATTCCACAGTTATTATTTTAAATAAGTTGAATGGACCATTTTCAGATGAATCTTTTGGAGCAAGAGATATTTAAATTCTTATTAGTATAAAAAGAATATTAAGTTAGAAAGAACGACAATATGTGGTGACAAGGTTGTTGATTTATAAGAAGAATGCGATGATGGCAATTCGTTTCCATTTGATGGTTGCTTTGGCTGTATGTTTTCATGCGTAGATGGATGTTCAGTCTGTTAAGATATGATCTGTCTTGGTTGTTTATAGGGATGGACTTATTTAGAATATGAATTTAGGTGTGAAAAACAGGTGAATTAGGAATTTTCTTGCAATAATTATTCAATTTAATGCATTGATCATTGTTTATAATTTAATTCTGGCATTTCCTAAGTATGTGAGGACAACTATTAATTGGAAAATAATTATTGTCTCTAAGTTGACAAAATGAATTTATGTTAAGCATAATGTTAGATTTGTATAGACAATATTTGTTATAAATGTTACCCTGGATAAATTTTAATATTAGGTAACTGTCAAGATATTTGTGGAGATTAAATATCTCCTTACACACTTGAGGAATGTGTTTGTGATCTAAATTGTGAGGAATGCATAAATAACATTTGTTATTCATGCAAGAGCAATTTAAAATTACTTGATAACGAATGCATTGGTACTTGTGGGGATCTTGTAGTTTAAGAATCGGAAGATTGTGATGACGGTAATGATATCGAATTTGATGGTTGTTTCTATTGCCGTTATTCTTGTCCAATAGGATGTATTAACTGCGAAAAAGGAAAATGTCTAGATTTATGTTTGCCAGGGTTTTATTTTATGAATAAAGTCTGTTCTCCAATTTGTGGTGATTCCATCATAGCAGGCAATGAATAATGTGAAGATAATAATACATAAGAATATGACGGGTGCTATCTATGTAAATTTTCATGTCCTCTGAATTGTTATGAATGCATTGATGGCACTTGCTTTAATTGTAATATTGGATTTTAATTAATTGAAAATTAATGCTCAAATGTATGTGGAGATGGACTTTTGTCAGTTGAAGAACAATGTGATGATGGAAATCAAGATAGTGGAGATGGATGCACTAAAACATGTTAAGTGGAAATTGATTGGATCTGCGATTAAGGGAAATATTGCACATTTGTTAAGTACCCATAGCTTATGTGCGGATTTATCGAGCAGAAAAATTAATACTAATATGTTAGAATTAAATTCTCTTAGGGTGTTTAATTACTTTCTGATATTGTATTTTAAGATGCCATAGAACTTTCAATTATTGATTTGAATGAAACAGATTATAATATTACCATTATAGAAGTTCAATCTGCTTAGTATTAAGTTATATTAGATGTAGAATACATTTTATAAATTGAGATCTTTACTAATTAACTTTAGTATCCAATATTAACAGTCAAATTAAATGAATAATTATACAATGATAATTTAGCCCCTCTAGTAAATACGGTGGATTATTTTTAATTAAAATAACCTAATTATATAACAGGTTAATAGGTTAAAATTGCTCAAACTGTTTAATTGGTTAGCAAAGTATCGTTTCTATCTATATATGCTTTATCAATTATTTTAATTATCTTAGGAAATGCACTCTCATTTTGGGGAATACTGGATGCCCTTTAGCAGCAATCATATCTCAAATTCATCAATGTCTTATATCCTTAAACTTTAATTATTTATTTTTAATCAACCGAAATGATATCAATGTAATCATTGTTAGATAGCTTCACAAATTTAAGCCAGAAGGCATCATTACTTTCATTTCCATATATAGAATCATATGAAAAATTTTTATTTTACTAAGTAAATGCAAATATTGCAGAGGGATTTAGAGCAGAAATTCTAGTATTCTTAGCCTTACTTTGTTTATATATAAGTAGTTTATTTTTGGAGAGAGTTATTTCAATCTTGGAAATGAGTCCACTTTTATAACGTTTTCCAAATTTTATTCGGTTTTTACAAAGCCATTAAAGAAAACTCAATAAAAAAATTAAAAAATTTGACAGAAGTCTTATCCAAAGTACTTTGCTAGCTTGTAGTTGGGACCTTATTTTTATGGCAATGCTTGAAATATCCTCCAACCATGATTTTTCTTATTATAGATCTTATGTCCGTCTAGCCATTACTTTTATAATATTAATCATAATTTTCAATTTAATCTTATAGTAAATGTCTGCAGTAATTAATTGGAAAAAATAAAATCTAGACCAATATTGGTTTCAAAAATAACCCTTTTTTCTATTGATAAAAAAGATTTTAATTGTATCAGTGCTTGTATTTTATTAGCGTGAGCAAATACTATAAACTTTACTTATGACTTTAATCAATGGAACCTACTTAATTTATGTAATTAACATGAAGACTGAGAAAGTATTTGAAATTAAAATCAAAAATATAATCATGGAAGCATCCCTAACATTATTTACGGCATCGACAATTGTAAATTGGGATATTTTGTAACGATACTTTGGATATAACTTTATAATCATAATAGGTTGGATTTAAATGTTTCTTTTGGTAGGTGTTCTTATTTCATACATGTTTTTCGAGCTTTATGATTTTATCAAATTAATCAAAAATAAAATTACAAAAATGATTGAAAAAAGAAATCGTAAAGTTAAATCTAATGAAGAGAAGCAATTATAAAATTAAGGAAATTAACTATAAAAGGAAATTATCTAACCTCAAAAAACTATATTTGCAAGAGTGGAATTTGTTTATCAAATACAAATAAAAAATTGAAATTGTATTATTTAAATTAATAATTAAATATCCATAATTTCAACTATTTAAAATGTCTAAAATCCTCAAAATCTAGAGCATTTTCTTTACTCCCACCTGATTTCATGAGGATTTTATCATCAAAATTATTTGAATGATCATAGAGTTGATAAAAATTTTACTTGCATTTTTATAAAAAATACAACGTTTATCCAATATTAAATATATATGACTACGCAAATAGATTCCTCTATCCATCTATTAAAATAGTTTATCAAATTGCAATTGAGATTAAAAAGAATAAATCAATTTATTTTATTTTTGGTAAATTCAAAGTTTCAATTTCAATTTGTTTAGGAATATGTGTTCATAATATTACAATAATATTTATTTGAAGAAAATAATGAATCATCGAAAATGTAAATAAATTTTTTAATTATTTTGCAATTAATGATATCAACCTGTACAATTAAACGAAGTAGTTCAATAGACCTAAAATAAATTCTGTATTCTTTACTTTAAATGCCTCAAATTCTCCATCATTTTGGGATGATTTAAATACTGAAGATGGTTTTGTATTCAGTTTCTACTTATGAATAAAGACTTCAACTTTTAGATTCTTAACAAATAATAGAAATAACATAATGAGATCGTTGGCAACTCAATACTATCATCAAATAATAAAAAAGATAATAGGATGATCTAATTAATATTTACGAAAATATAAAAAATGATGTAAATTTTAGATAATCTCATTAAGATGTTTAATAGGGGGGGGGTGCTCTAATTGAATACCTTATATTATTAACTTTTTTAATTAGAGTTTCAGCGATCTGCCTCTTTAAAACTCCCACATATTTTAAGTTATACTAGAATATGCAATATTATGAGAACCTATAAACTAGCTATGCTTTTTATATACTTTAATTATATATAGAAAAGAGAAATAAAGCCTTTTATTAATTCTAGGTAACTTATTGTTTGAATGAATATTATATCATATTAAGAGAATTTCAAGCTGGATATTAAAAAAAAAATTTAAATTAATACTTTTCATAACTTTCTTTTTATATTAACCCAGAAGAAACTGTTTCATATGGGTCCATTATTTTCATATATACAAATCAATTGATTATTAGATCTTCTTCTTTTATACTTTTCACTTTAAAAATTTGACATTGAATGCTCTGAAGCAGTTGATAATGGTTATAGGAAAACAAGATAGAAATATTAGATTTGACTTCAAATAAAAGGATGGAATGAGTCTATGCTTTTAAAACCAATAGGAAATTCGAAACTAAAAAGTTCTTGATTATACATAGTTTCAAGTTGAGTACGCTTAGTATGCTTGATTGTGTTTAATTTAATATAAATTATTATCTAAGTCAACATATGATGCATAGACGCAAATTACGACCAAATGTAGTTTATATCATACGAATATTCAATAAAATATTATTCTTTTCTACAAATTACAAGGGATTAGGGCTAAAAGGATGGATCAGTGGGTCCTTTAAAAAACATTATTTTTATCATTGATATGCACTCCAAAATAGATTGCATTTAGCCTTTTAAGGAAATGAGAATTTCAATCAAGATTTTATGAGCTTCCAATTCTAGGTAAATTTAAAAATAATTATCTCTAGGTCCAAAATGGAAGATCAATTCATAAATCAAAAAATCGAAATTATAATAACCCATATTAAAACAACTATATAGGTGCCTTTTAGTACAAATTACATCTACATCTATAGCACTTTTTATAGTTTAAAAGACTAACATTGAAATTAGGCCTTAAAAATTCCATATAATAACACTAGGTACATTTATCAAGGAATGATAGTCAATTATCTCAGTTTTGATTTTATAATCATAGAACTACTAACTACTAGACTATTTAATGTAATTCAGTAATTTATACTATAAGTTTCAGTAAAAGTGAGTATTCTAGTCTAAGTTAAGGTATTGTTTTAATAAATCTATAATTATTACTGCTTATTCTTTCTCAATCTTATAAAATTTGATTAAAACAGAATTTTAAATCAAGTTGGCTAGAATTTCTTAACAGATTATACTTAGAATATCAGTATTGAAATCTTCTCGAAAGCTTTTATGATCTTCGAGTATTCATAACTTATTAATAAAATTAAAGAATTAAAAGTTTCATTAAATTGAATTTATGATGGATTAAATTATAAAAATATATGCTTATATCAATTATGTTAAATATTTCATTATCTTAAGAAATTAAGACACTTACCTTATGTAGATGGATAAAGATACTTAGTAATTCTTCAATATCTTCATCATCAGGCGTTATAGAATCTGCGAAACCTAAGACCTCTTTTGCCTCTCTATATTATCCTAATTGAATTAAGCAGAAGGCTAAATATTCAATAAAAAAAGTATACCTTTCCCTTTAAGGGAATCTGTATGTTATGGATTAATATGTAATGCTTTTTAATAGTATTAACATGCCAATTAATAATTATTGATCAATTTTAGAGATTCTCCTATAATTAATCGAATTTAATTTACCTATTGCAGTTATTGAATATATATCTTTTGGATTAAGATTTACTGCTTCTTAATAGTACTTAACTGCCTTTTAATATTAGCTAGTCATTCTTAGGCATTCACCTTAAATTAAATGAACTTCAATTACCAATTGAAGATAATGAATAAATGTGTTTTGGATTAATATCTAATATTTTTTGATAAAACTCAGCAGCATCATTATATTTGTTGTTCAATCTTAGGCAATCACCTATCCCATATAGTGAATCTATATGTTTTGGATCAATATCTAAAATTTTTAAATAGAGTTCAATTGCCATTTGATAATTACCATCCAATCTTAGCAATTCACCTTTGTTTCAATAAATCTAATTACCTCTCCCATAATGAGAATCTATGTATTATGGATTAATGTCTAATGCTGCTTCATAATACTTAACTGCATTCTAATATTAGCCATTCAGTCTTAGACAATCCCCTTTAAATTAAATGAATTCTTTTACCAAGCCCGTTCAATGAAACTATTTCTCTTGGATTAATATCTAATGCTGCTTAATAGCATTTTACAGCTTTCTAATATTCACCTGTTAATCTTAGGCATTCTCCTTTAATTAATTAAATCAAATCTACCTTTTCCTGCATATGCCGCAGTACTTTTAGAATTGCAATTTAAAACTTTATTGTAACTATCTACTGCCTCCTAATATCTTTTTAATTTTCTTAGACAATGTCCTAATTATTTTAAATTTTAAAACTTACCTTATGATAATAAATAAACCTGATTAGATACGCTTATCTTAATAGCTCTATTGTAATAGTCCAAAGCTTCATTAAATTAGTTATTCTCAATTATTATCTTTAATTCATAACTTTATTAAACATTCTCCTAAAACCTTTTTCTGAAATAAAACCTATTCCAAACTATGCCGCTGAATTATTTTCATTAATTGATATACAATTATCATAATACTATTTTGCTTCCCAATACTACTTTTCATCTCTTAAAAGATCACCTAAAAATAAATACAAGTTACCTAATTTCAAATTTGAGAGTTCGTGTTAAGGATTGATTTTAATTATATCTAGATATATTTAATGTGCTTTTTTACACTCATTGGTTTGACTTAATGAATTTCCTGAAATAGGATTAATTAAAAACCTTTTTAGTACATGATTTCTAAATTGTAGGGTTCTGATAACAATAAATTATCGTATTGTTAAATTGCCTCAACCTATTTATTCATGAAACTTAAAGAGATGGCTAAAGAATAAAAAATGTAAGACAACCTTTTTAATAATCATTCAAATTTTTTTCTCTTTACTTATTAGAGATCTAATATTCAATGCGATGTAATTCTAATTGAGTAAAAAGGTCATCAAAAATTTTTTACATTTTCTTCAATGGCTCTATTACATTGCATTTGATATGATTCTTCATCTCATCAAATAAAATCTAAGACTCAAGTGCTGCTAATTATTAATTAATGTCGAATTCATTTATTTTGTCTTCCAATCCACAGAATGAAATTATAAGCCAGAAATTAAATATTATAACGAGAGAGCAGTTTGTTGCAATTAAATTTTACTATCTTTTATTAGATCTTTTGAATTCTGAGATTTGGTAATCAAAAATTAGTTTAATTTATTAATCTCATCAACATCTTCATTGAAATGTTTGTAATGTTTTTATAATTTTTGACATTAAATACAGAAAATCCTATTTTCATGACAGTCAGCCGATTTGCACCAAAAAATTGCAGATTCTTAAGGATGTTCCTTACATTTAAAATCCTTTTTCTATTAGAATTTTTAATTCATTATTTAATTATGAAAAAATGTAACAAACCAAGCTTATAATTAAATTAGGGATATAGATCCAACATAATTGCTTAAATTTTTCAGGGAATTCGAAAATTATTCACTAGATAAACACCACAATGAGTGGTTTCTATCAAAGCATATTTAAAAAACAATTTTTTAACTGCATTTTCAATATGCAACATCAGCTTTTCTGTTATTCCTTTAATCTCTTTTCTTAATGCATCTTCTGTTCCAAAAATCCAACAAATATTCTAAAATAATCCTGAAGAACTACTTATTTTTAACTATACGCTCGTCAACTCTTTTTTACTAATTGATCTATTTTCATTATTTCACATTAGGCTATTGTTATTTCTCAAGAAAATTGCTGCCATTTGAACATCTAACTCTAATTGTTATGGATTTAAAAAATACTGTATTAGAATTTAAGTTTGAATTTCTTACTCTATTTTCAAATTTATTCACATTCTTGTCATTTTTAATTTTAGAATAAAGAGCATCATTTATCATTTAAAATCTGTAATGATTGGTATTGGAGTAAGAGCAACTTTCAATGTTCGAAATGTTTCAATAACTGCATCTGGGTTTGTAAAATAAACCTGTTAAGATTTAGATATTGCATCAATAATTGTGGAGCCTCAAATAAAGATCAGTTTTAGGCTTTAATGCTTATTTTACGGGATATTTAGTTTGATTAATAAAAACATAAAAAATATCTAAGCTATTTATAATAAATAAAATAAATAAATAAAATTACATTATGAATTTATAATTTTCTAAATTTTTAATTGAAGTAGTATAAAAATAATCATTAGTATTGTTGTGTTAAAAAGATTGGTGAGTTGAAATGGGATTCACATATCAAATTGATAAGTTTATTTACTTTTACAAAATTGCCTGATGAAAGCAAAGTTCAAAAATACAAAATAGATTTGTAATTTTAGTATGAAATTATAAATAGCGAATTAGTTATGAATACTAACGAATACAGTGATTATTCAAAGAACAAACCAAATAATTTTCTACTATTAGCGAGATATTGATCCTATAATGGTTGCAATTGTGGATTCATAATAAATCAATAATTTATAGTAATTGAATGCAGATTTTAAAAGTAATATTCACTGAATAATTTTTAAATTTAGTTATAAGTGTTTTTTGGAATAAATTAATTTTTCCTTATTTATGGAATGATTAACGTTATAACTTTAGGTATGAATTAAACTAACTAAACTTACTAGTGCAAAAAAGCAAAGTATGCAAGTTATAGTTTGGTAAGGAACATTCAACTCTGTCTATAATTAAGAATCATTTGAACAATTGCTCTATGCTAAAATATAATTTACAATTGGTGTATACTTTGAGACAGAATTAATTATTGATATGCTGCAAAACCTCCTCCATTTCACAGCCTCAGCAATTCCTTGCAGCCATCAAACAATTGATGAAATCAAAAACACATTAACTAATACATGAAGAATTTAAATTAGGCTATTATTATATAATGATGAAATTATTAACAACATCACCTAATATTAATATTATATGCATCAACCAAAGCAGTTATACATAGAATTTTTCCCCAAAAGCACTGCAGTCTTAAATGCCAGATATTAGATTTATTAAGCAATATTCCTCATGTATTGATTTATGTCAGCTTTTTATAATGTCCAAATACAAATTAAATAGTCCTAGCAACTAAGTAATTTTTTTGCTAATGCTCTCAAACAATTTAAAGCTTTATAAATTTATGATTGTATAAGGCATCTTTAATACTGATATATTTGGTTTGTCCTAATTTTAGAGTCTGTCTATTTGGCCTATCGATTTCAAATTTTTTAAAGTTCTAAAAGCATTTTGCAATTGGCCTTAATCTTTTAATCATCTATCAATAGGAGTTCTTATTTCAATTAATTTAAACAAGTAATCTCATTTAAGAGACAGTATGCTCAATTTATTAGTAAGTGATGCCTAGCAAAATAGAGCAAATGAAACGCTTAGTATGATAAGAGATCTTTGTATAATGCTACACTATTTTGATACATCTGCTTTTCATCAGGCATTATGGTTCTCAATTTTGAAGGATTGAAATAAGATGCCATCTTGCAAAATTATTTCAACTTCAACCTTTCATTATGATGCTATTAAAATCAAATAAGTTAGTACAGATGCGTTAATCAAAAATCCTAAATTTGCTTACACTTACTATTGCCCTTGCTCTATGCCAATCATCTTTTAATATACATCTTGGTTTATATTTCAATTTTATTTTAGACATAGCTTGAGTAGACTTTTTTAGCACCTTATGAACCGATCTTAAGAGAGAGTCTTATAGTCATTAGTTATTAGATGGCTGTTTCTTTGTGGATAATTAAATGCTCTGAATTTGCAAATTGAACTTATGCAAACAATGAAATGATTTTGGAATAATTTCTACGTGTTAAGGATGGAATAATCTTCAATTGATTAAAAAGCTTAAATAAAAAATGATATTAGATAAGGACTTTAACATTAATAGAATTAATTACCTTTAGTATTGAATTGCATCTAATGGGACAAGTTGTGCGAAGAAGGATACATGCTAATTTTTTGGATGAACATTCCATTCCAGACGACTCTCTTATTAGTACAGGATGAATCAATCAGATAAGAAATATTTCTACTTAAGCATGTATTTATTTTATTCTTGTAAATAAGACAAAATACAAGGCATTTATAAAATGCAAATGAGCTGTTAAGCTTTAAAATGCAACTAAGAAATTTTGGAAATATATAATTAGCTGCAAAAGATTTACAAATTTAAATTGATTGCTGTTTTTACTTAAACACATATAGAAGGTACTTTAGGAGTAACAAATATATATTTATAATTCTTGAGCTGCATTTCTCTGCATAAGTTTTGTATTAACTAAGGAAAAAAGGAAATAATAAATTCAGGATTTCAGGGATTATTGTAAAATTTTCTAGGCAATATGAAATTTTTTTTTTTATCAATTAATTACAAAATCGTTCTCAATAAAGATTGTCAATCCACTAATACCCAGCAATATTCTGTTAATAGAAGGAGCACCTATTTTAGAATTGCAATTGACCTGGCTGGATAGCATTACAATTATATGATTTTAATAACTAGCATTTATGTTAAACTATTTGAGAGAAAATTTGCAAAATTAAATAAAAGGAAGTTGCACCTGGCAAATTGTTGAATAAAATACTTTCACAGGTGGATAAGGAGTTCATGGGAGAATTTTCTTTTACTAGAAAGAATGCTTTTTTTGTAATGGGATACTAGACTAAAAATATAATCATGATGGATTTGGATAACTAATGATAATTAAGATAAACAAAATATGAGGAATTGATGTTAATCCCAATTATCTAGTTTTGATTACGACCTTATTGTGTTCTTCGCAAGGGAAGCTATTCCTCAAAGTAGAAGACACAGTATCTCAATTGAAGACCAAACCGATTATTATACCAAAGATGATTGAAGTTTAGATCAAATTGAGGTATAACCTAATCACAATGCTAGATAGATTTTAAAGGTCAGCGTAAAAGTATTATATTTATTTTGTAAAACTCAGCACTTTTGACCTTTAGTCTATCATTTTACTATTGGATGAGTTATTTGTTTTTAGAATAGTCATTTTATACTTACATGAATATTATTTATTTAGATGCACTTAAAGGGACTAAGTTAATTTAAATATTTTCTAATTTGAAATAATTGGAGGTTACAATAAGACTTAAAGATAATCTAGTTTCAAATTAGAAATATTTCATATAAACCTGTTAAATATGTATCGATAGAAATACAATTTCTCTAAGCAAATCAAAAGTCGAGAAACTATAAAGTAAAACAGACGATATAAATTATTACCATCTTTGATATAGTTAAAAATGGATATCTCCTTGTCATAATTGTGAGGTTATTAAACAGCTAAATTCTGTTAATTCATGTACAAAATGCAATATATTTATTTTTATTCTAACTCTGGAGTGTAGTTTGCCTTTAGCATTCATCACAGTTTATTAATGCAAGGGTTATTTGGCAATCTCATGACATTTATCATAATGATGCTGGTTAATGCTATATAACAAAAGATTAGTTTGCAACCCCCCTTATTTTTTAAATGTTTTTTACATATATTGCAGATTAGTAGGTTGGCAATGCCAAAACGTCTATTTAGATGATTCCTTTTAAAATACTTATAGATATTATTCTTGATTCCAAAACTATTGGCAGTAGGTTTAATTATTAATTAATTTTATCTAATGCAGCCAGCTATTGATTCAGGCTTGAATTCTTTCCTAATGAGGAGTATTTCATTATGTTCTTCATTGTTTTACAAATTTTTCTCAAAATAGATATTCTAGTGGAAATTATGGCTTGCTCATCCAAAATAACTTATTATATCTAAGGGTAACTATTATGCATACACTAACGTAATAGATTAATTTAATGATGGCTCTTTATGATCATCAAATATAATTTAATTAACAAGGTGATTAGCAATCTCTAAATTTGTCATACACTTTATTCTGCAATATGAAGTACTCAAGGAGACATTATGTTACATCCAACTGTTATGTTTAATGCATTAAAACTACCTGCAAGATTCTGTTTTGTTATCAAATTCTTTCTTATGTTATAATAATATTTTCAATTAAATGAAATTTCTGATTCTATGTTCTCACCTCCCATAATTTAAATTTTATCAAGAATCAGTAGAATTTGATTGAAAATAAAAGTCTTTTAGGAAAAAGATAACAATAAATCGCTAACTAATTAAAAAATACTGAATTTCATAAAGAATTTGAATTCACAATATTTGCAAGCTTGACCTGGTTCTGGAGTAACAAGTCGTTGAAAGTTGCTAATTCATTACTATTACCCAAAAGAGATTTTAAAATAAAGTAGGATGTTCTAAAAACTGGTAAAATAATTCTGGTTTAAGGTCTGTTAGATAATCATGAATAGAGAGCTGCAGCTAATAGTATATCTAATAGAGAAAAAGGGTGTATATTCAACTGCGGCAGTTCCATTATGAGATCCAATAGCTTCGTTATATAACTGCCATCCTAGCATGTGTAAGAATTAGATTTACATAATTTGTTTAATTTTAATATAGAGATTGTATCAAAACAATGAATACTGTTTTTGCCTTGAAAATATGTGCTTGTTCGAGGAAGTTATAAGTTTTATTAATCAAGAACAGCTAGAGAACTTTTTGTAATCAATTGGATAACTAATATCTAAAATAAATGGCAAGGATTATTTTGATTGTCCAAACTTAAATGGCAAGTTATGTTAAATTTTTCTTAGACTTTATTGGCTTGCAGAATGCCACTTAAGAGTTCATACTTTTGCACCATTTACTTTTAATTTTTCTTATAAGTTTACATAATACTTAAACAGATTTATAGGGTGGTACTGTAAATGCTTGATCCACATATCTATATCACTTGCAATTTTAACCAAAGACAAAAAGATCAATACTTGTGGACTTATGGGATAATTCGTATCCTCTATACAATTAGCATTTCCAAATTTGTAATATTAAACACTGAAGGAGTATAGGATACTACTACTATAGTTTAAAACTAAAATACTTTTGTTACTTACAGCATATAACTAGATTTATTGGGGTTATAAAATGTTCAAAGAAAAATTTTTTGGGCACTCTCTACCGAGATAGCAAAGCAATCACTATAACAGGCACTTATGATAATCATCTTAAGATAATCAGGCAGAGATCCGATAGCTATTATTATCAGAACAAATGAGAGAGCAGACGTGAAAGTGATTTAGAAACACCAATATTAAACAATATTACACATGAATTAAAGATGAATTTATTTTGTACGTGCAATTTTAGTATCACTAATGATACATATATTGTCACATACACTCTTGCCAAAATTCATCATTTAAGCATATATGGGATACAATGCTATAACAGAATTCCTAATGAGATTTTTGATGTTATAACGAAACTCTATTCAACCACTAGTAATTGGCTATGCTTAAGATTAATTGTTAATAGGCAGTTTTCTTTGATAATTATAAATACAATTGTTGTTAACAATAGTATTCATATTCACAACATTTTATTGAAGAAACAGGGTGATTATGGACAAGTGTTAATTCAAAAAGGAAACAAACGTATATATTTGAAAGCAATTTCCCCATATAATTTACATCCTTAATTGAAAGCTTGCACTATAAGAATGAAAGTTGATAAGCTATCTAATAATAAACAGCTTAATTTATATCAATACATAAGAATATGTATACTATTGGTATGTTAGGCTTTACTGTAAAAGTTTATAAATGAAGTTGATATATAGGAACTTGGAATACAAGAGAAATACAAACTTTTCTAACTAGAGCAAATGGAAATGTCCTTCTATATTATAAAATTCTTATAATGGATCTGACAAGTCAAGCGATTTCTATTCTTGAAATCCTAATTTGGTTACATTACAATTTTTGATGAAAACTTTAATGCTGCTATATTTAAAGAGTGATTAAAACAAGAATTGGAAATGCAACCATTTGTCTGTAATTACTTGATGGCTCTGTTGTAGGAGTTTGCTAATAAACTTGTAAAATATTTTGTTGGTTATGAGGAATGATGTCTTTTTGCAGAATAGATTTATTTGAGCATCAACTTCAGCTTGAAATGAAATACATGTTATTTTTCCAAATATTTTAGCGGCTCTCTTTATTTCTACTTTATCATCTCTAAATGCTTCTAATTTTCAATTACTTTGTAAACCAGCAGTTTGACTAATAGCAGTGAATAATTGAAACCTTGTATATTTGACAACAAAATTAGTTACAATTTTGGTTGTTACTATTTTGAATAATGAATTATACTAATCCTAGTTCCCTTGCATTGCTTTCATGTAGCCATAAATATGGCACTGCAACTTGTTTTAATATTGCATGGTATTTCCAGAAACATCTTTATTCTGCATATTACTGCTAACACTTGCACAATGCAGACAATTATTTGTTCTTATTTTAGATCCAAACCTTACTATATCTAAGAGTAGATTTCTTCAAGCCTGTGAGGAACACATTGCATATCAGTCAAACGCTTAAAAATAAGTGATCATTTTTTGAACATTATCTATTGATATATCCTGTTAGTTATGAACTTAATCTTGATAGATTAAAGCTTGTACATTAATTTATATTTTGCACTAACTTCTTCGTTTTACGAATAATCTTCAAGATATTCTTATGCTCTACATATTTCTATTAGACTCCAGGATCATTTTTACTTCTTCATGCAGGGTTATATTATTCGTTCACTCGTACAGTGTTGAGCACTTGCAAGTGATGCTAAACGTTCAGCCCTTTCTTGTCATATTACTATATGACACACATCACCTTGTCTACAGATGGATAAGATGTAGGTTAGATAAAAACTTTATAGCTGAGGTAGGTAAGTTGTGGAAGCTCTATCTAATATTTTGAGAGTCACCTTCGATGCTTTTACTTTTATTTTCTCAAATAACCCAACTCAATATCTTTCTTTTTAAGAGATGAAAATTGATGTAATATTTAAACAGATGGATTTATAAATAATCTACTTTAAAGATGCAATACTTTTAATGTTCACAAGCAAAGCTTAAAGCACAAATTGGATTTATGAGAGAATAAAAACGTATAAGTCAATTGAATAATTTTGATTTTTTAAAGGGATGCAACAGTTAATAAAATATGTAACCTTATTAATCAGTCTCAGGTTTTTGTAATTCCTAACAATTAGTGTTCAGCATGTTTTTGTTTTACTATTTTGAAAAGTAATACTTGCTAAATACTATTTGCAACCGAAATTCTCCTTGCTAAGAGTGTGTAAAGATACAGCTTGTTCATTATATAACACTTGCGCTATTTATTAAATGTAGAAAGAATATAATATCACTTGAAATTAACCTTTCATTATGCTTTTCTGATGATCGATACATAGTTAGTTACAAAACTACCTTTATATCCTTCGTGTTTCAAATAAATTTAAAAGCAAAAATAAATAGGCCTAGTTTTTCGTTTGTACGTCACCAGGATTAACTTCCTTCTCTTGTCCATTGACTTAAGACTAATACCCATTAAATCAATCAAATGTTAATTCCCATCTTTAAAACAATGCTCTTGACTTAACAAAAAAGGATTATAAAATTGCTTACCACTCATATCAACTATATTAAATTCTCTAAGTTAAACTTATGCTTGCTCCAATTCTTTTTAAAACTCATAAATCTATTTTAGTATTTCATTAAGTAATAGGCAAGAAATATGTGTCTTTCTAATGCTTACTTGCTATATCATCACCTTAGTTTCAATGCATTATTTCATTAAGCATTTTTCTCCTTCTGCTATAAAATGAAATTTTGCCTTATTTCAACCCTTAGTTTTGTACTTGTTTGAACAATCTCATCTACTATTTTTTCAATACTTATAAAGGTTGTTTAATTCTTGTATAAAAAATTATTTTTGAAAATGTCCGTTGGATACATTTGCTAAGACAATTTGTAATTAGCTATTGCTTAATAATTAAACTAGAGCAAATGGGTGCTTTGTCTTTCATATATAATTTTTCTTATTTGCATGTTGTTTCCAGGTAAATTTTTGTGTAGCCTTGTAGCAATTTGTATGAGCTAATTAGAACAAATATTCAGCAATTATTGTAATTTATATTAGGAAAAAGAGCCCTGAACTAGTCTCTCAGTTTTTTACTCTGACTTTCTGACTTATTTATTAGTGGGCGTTGTCATAACACATTAAAAAATCACGCTGCTTTTGCTTTAGGATTTGTGTTGTAAGAAAAGCTATTAATTAGATTAGAAGCTAAAACAATGATTCAGAGTAGATCACCCATGCTTAAATAACTGTGTAATGAATATGGCCACTTGCAAAAACTACCTACTCTGTAAATCTAAAATATGAAAGGCATTTAGAGGCAGTTCAGCATGGTTTGTATTAAATTTGAAGTATTAATAACGTGCATTTCCTCAAAATTCTCTCCTAATCATACACTCATTAAGAAGCTTATATCAAAAATAAAGAAATTCTCTATTAGAAGTGTTGAACGTTATAAATTATCACAATTAACCCTTGCCCTAGTTTATATGTATCTGACTTCAACACAATTTGATGCATTGGATCATCAGAAAATTGTATTGATAAAATTCTAGAATATAGAACTTATTATTCTATTGTAACAACATTGTAATAAGTGAGATCCTCGAATCACTTGAACCACTTTAGCTCATAAAGTCATCTACAATTTTAGCAGGACAAAACTTAGCCTGCATGCATCCTTTATTTCAGCTGCTGACAAAATGGTCTAATTTCAAAGTTGAAACCCACTTGACCTACCCAGCTTTATCTTATTAACTTTTAATACTTCATTAGAAATTTGTTTGGTTTATGAAACTTTAACTCATCCTTTTTGTTATTTAAAATATTTGCTGCCAGTATTCGTTTCATAAATAATAGAGGGGAATTGTTATTAATTGCTTCATTTTAAGTATGAACTTGTGTAGAGTATACTTTTTTTAAGGCACTTATCTGAAACTAAGTTCATTCACTAAAAGAACAGTTGAAAATTTTATGTTGAAATGTTTATTGTTGTCAAAGTCCTGTTGCTGATATCAAACTACCTCCTTTTGCAAATTTTGTATTGATTGTAATAGCGATTAAGTGCTGTAAACTACTCATAAATATAGTGGTGATGCTTAGTCAAAGTTTAGAATATTTTTAGGATAAAGTTTAATTCTTTTTTATATATGAAATGCTATCTTTATTATTAATTGTATCTTTTCTTTTTTATAAACTAAAAATCTAAATTTTACTTAACCATTAATTATCATTTTTAAGACTCAATATGTTTACTCTATTTAGATTATAAAGTTAATAATTTATAACAAGAGTTTCTGACATCTCATTATTTACCAAATATTTAAATAGCATTTACTTAAATTGTTTAAAAACTTGCTTGAAATGGTTCTATTGAAAAACATGTACTTATCAATCTTAAAAAATTTGAAGATCAAGAAGAAACAAAAGAAACATATTATCCAAAAAAGTTAAAAGAAAATGATTAAAATTATAATTGTATGAATATTCAAATTCACTTTTGCTTTTGTTTTAAGTCTTCTAAAAAGCAACTTCCTATTGATTTAAACAAAGGTTTTAAATCTATCCCTTAATAATTCATAAATTGTCCTTATAAGATAAGTGTTCCTGATGCTTCTAACCAAGGATTCTAGCATATTCTAAGTATTGTACGATCAGGATTAACTAAATAATAATTAATAATAAATACCATTTGGCAATAAGGAGCAATTCTGAAGTGGTGATTGAAGTATTTCCTTTTCTGAATATTCAAGTTTAGGAACACTTGAATATTCAGTGGCGTGGATTCTTGTAAGAAAGAATGACAAATTAAAATAAATTTATGTATTAAATGATTATAAATATTAATCAATTTTCATCGTTTTTATAATCCAATTTGGTTCTCTAAAATGAAGCTTCCTCTTTGTTTAAATAATGTCCTCAAGTCTATGCCAGACTGATTAATAAATTCTCCTTTCAAAATTAACGCTCCTTAAGATCGAAATTCAAGCTAAGTTGATATGACAAGGTAATTTACAGGAGAATTTACTATATAAAGAAGAAAATAAATACCACTTTCTTGAAATACGTTGTTGTTAAAGTTATGAGATGAAAATTAAGCTACAATATCTTGATAACAATTATCTGAAGATAAGATTTATTATCCTGTCTTAACATCCCATAAACGGATAGACTTGTAATCGCTGCCAGATGCTAATGTAGTACCATCAGGAGAGTAACAAATTGAATAAACTGTTCCAGAATGACCATCTAATTTGGCTTTTTATTATCCTGTCTTAACATCCCATAAACGGATAGAG